AAGGAGGGGGGCTGAATGGCCTCCTGTTCTTGTGTGACAGGCTCGAGGTGGGAGCTGATGGTTCTGCTATGTTGTAACTGAAACTCCTCAAGGAATTTGATGATCACAGGAACTTGATGTGTGACCATTCAGCCCCTTGAGCCTATATCCCCATTGGCTCAGATCATTGCTGATGTTTGTTTGAATTCCACCTGCCTACCTCCGTTCTGTCTCCTTTCATCCCCTCACTAACCCAATAAAAGCCTCGGTTTTGAAATTGCCAATTGATACCCCAACCCCAACCTTGACAGCTTTTTCTTAGGGGTGGTATGGGGTTGGGGAAGGGGGGTTGGCGGAGTAGGGTGGTAGAGTTCTAGATTTCCACTGCCCTTTGTAGAGGAGGTATTTCCTGGGATAAACTCTGATTGAACCAGCTCAAATTTTAAAGGTTCAGCACGTACCCTAATTCTAGACAGCCCACACCCAGAGGAAATGGTTCCTCTCTATCAACCCTGTCGAATCCTTTAATTATTAAACCCCTTGATGACCATCACCCCATATTCTTGAATACCTGAGGGAAGACAGTCCATTCTGTGTGACCTGTCTTTGTGATTTCATAGCTGCTGGTGAGCTGATTCCCTGCAGTTCATTGCTGATGGGTTTGGCTGGGAGTTGCAGAAACAGTGCCTATTGTAGCACCTTCACACACTCTGCCATACCTTAACTTCTCTGTTCGTATTCGCTCGGGATTAGGTCATCAGGTTCTGTACGTTCCAGAAGTGCAGCCCCTTCCAGGACTGGGATACTGGGTTCCAATCTCGCAGGAGATCTCCCTCACCACTCGTCACAAAGTAGTGGTTGTGGGACATTTTACATACAGCTGCGGAATGGGACATCGGGTTAGTGTCACAACCTTAAAGGTAGCACCTCTGACCGTGCAGCACCTCCACAGCACTGACCCTCTGACAGTGCGGCACTCCCTCAGTAGTGACCTGTTCCATTGGTGCTGAGACTGGGAATCAGAGTGTTGAACTGAACCACAAGACACAGGCCTCCAGTCACCATTGTTTTGTAATCAGTTAATTTACTTTTAAAACCGATTTCCTAAAAACAGTTTATCCTTAATATAAAGTGAGACTCAATCCCTCACTGTTACCCGGATATGGGAGTAACCGAGCGATCGTTGGGAATCGCTTGGATTATATTTGGTGTATGGAATAGCACAATTTCTCCTCATCCTTCACTAACCTCTCACTCCTCCATTGCCCCCCCCCCCCCCTCCCCACCACCCCACCATGCTAGGAAATCAAGGAGCTGCCGGATTATAACAAGATCACTTTCAAGGAGAATCCACCCATCCCGCTGGAACACGTCGTCCCAGATGCCTCAACCGAGGCAGTGGATCTGCTGAAACGCTTCCTGGTCTACCCATCCAAGCAGAGAATCAGTGCAGCTGAGGTGAGCCTCCACCTGCCCAGAACGTCCCTGTCCAACCTGCCTGGCCCATCACATTCTCTTCTGGCTAACGTCCAGAGAAATGGCCTTGGTGAGACAGTATTCAAGAACACCTTTTATTGTTCTGGTCTCCATATCCCACTTGGAATACCGCGCACAGTCCCCCTCCCTAAATCTCATTTGAAATACCGCCCACAGTCCCAGCACCCTAAATCTCACTTGGAATACCGCGCACAGTCCCAGTCACTATATCCGAGTTGGGATACTGCATACAGTGGCAGTCCCTAATCTCACTTGGAATACACCCACAGTCCCAGTCCATACATCCCACCTGGAATACCACCCACAGTCCCAGTCACTATATCCCACTTGGAATACCGCCTAGAGTCCCAGTCTATATATACTGCTTGTAATACTGCACACAATCTTAGTCCCTATATCTCACTTGGAATACCACCCATTGGCTCAGTCCCTATGACCCACTTGGAATACGGTGCACAGACCCAGCCCCTGTATCCAACTCGGAATACCGCTCACAGTCCCTGTCCCTATATCCCACTTGGAAAATTGCGAACAGTCCCAGTCTCAATATCCCAGTTGGAATACCACCCACAGACCCAGTCACTCTGTCCCACTTGGAATCCCTCACACTCCCAGTCCCTCTATCCCACTTGGAATACTGCACACAGTCACATTCCTGATATCCTACTTGGAATATTGCACACAGTTTCAGTCCCTACATCCCATTTAGAATACCGCACACAGTCCCAGTACCTGTATCTCACTTAGAATATGGCACACAGTCCCTATATCCGACTTGGTATATTGCGCACTATCCCAGTCCCTATATTCCACTTGGAATACTATGCACAGTCTCAGTCCCTATATCCCACTTGGCAAACTGCCCACAGTCATGGTCCATTTATCCCACTTGGAATACTGCCCTCAGTCCCAGACCCTATATACTACTTGGAATTCCACGGACATTCCCAGTCCCTATATCTCACTTAGAATACCGCACAGAAACCCAGTCACTATATCTGACTGGGAATACCACACACAGTCCTAGTCACTATATCCAGTTGGAATACCACCCACAGTCCCAGTCCCTGTTTCCCACTTGGAATATTGTGCACAGTCCCAGTCTCTATATCCCACTTGGAATACCGCGAATAGTCCCAGTGCCTATATCCCATTTGGAATCCGCACACAGTCCCAGATGCTATATCACACTTGGAATGCTATGCACAGACTCACTTAGAATACCATGCACAGTCCCAGTCTCGATATCCCACTTGGAAGACTGTGAACAGTCCAAGTCCCTACATCCCATTTGGAATACCAAGCACAGTCCCAGCCTCTATATCCCACTTGGAGTACCATCCACAGTCCCAGTCCGTATATCCCACTTGGAATACTGACCACAATCCAAATTCCCACTTGGAAAACCACCCACAGTCTCAGTCCCTATGTCTCACATGGAATACCATGCACAAGCCCAATCCCTACGTCTCACTTGGAATACCGCCCACGGTCCCAGTCCCTACATCCCACTCGGAATACTAAGCACAGTTCTGATCCCTATATCCTACTTGGATATCCACGCAGAGTCTCTGTATCCCACTTGGAATAATGCACACAATCCCAGTCCCTATATCCCACTTGGAAAACTGCCCACAGCCTCAATATCCCATTTGGAATACCGCCACAGTCCCAGAACCCATAACACACTTGGAACGCTTTGCACCTCACTGATCCCTATAGTATACTTGGATCACCGCACACAATCCCAGTCACTATATCCTACTTGAAATCCCCACCACTTGGAATACTGACAATAGTCCCAGTCCCTATATACCTCTTGAAATACCATCCACAGTCTCAGTCACTGTATCCCACTTGGAATACCAAGCACAGTCCCAAGCCCTATAACCCACTTGGAGTCCACACACAATTCCAAACCCTATATCACACTTGGAATGCCATGCACAGACCCAGGCGCTGTATCCCACTTGGAATACCATGCACAGTCCTAGTCCCTATATCTCACTTGCAATACCACCCACATTCGCAATCCCTGTATCCCACTTGGAAGACTGACCACAGTCCCAATAACCCTCTTGGAAAACCACTCACAGACCCAATCCCAATATACCACTTGAAATACCACGCACAGTCCAAGTCCCTGTATGCCACTTGGAATACGGCCCACAGTCCCAGCCCATATATCCTACTCGGAATACTATGCACAGTTCTGATCCCTGTATCCCACTTGGATATCTGCCCAGAGTCCCAGTCCCTATATCCCACTTGGAATACTGCCCACCACCCCAATATCCCACATGGAATACCACACACAGTCCAATAACCCACATGGGGTTTTGCCCATAGTCCTAGTCCCTCTTTCCCACTTGGAATAATGCACACAATCCCAGTCCCAGTATCCCACTTGGAATACTGCCCACAGTCCCAGTACCTATAACATGCTTGGAATGCTGTGCACTGACCCAGTCCCTGTATCCACTTCGAATCCACACACCGACTCAGTCCCTATATTGCACTTGGAATACTATGCACAGTCTCAGTTCCTATATCCTACCTGGAATACTGCACACAATGCCAATCCCTACATCCCACTTGGAATGCCACACTTAGTCTCAGTCCCTATGTCACATTTAAAATAGCGCACACAGTCCCAATATCCACTTGGAATACCACCCACAGTGCCAGTCCCTATATCACACTTTGAATAATGCACATAATCCCAGTCCTTATATCCCACTTGGAATATGGCCCACAGTCACAATATCCCACTTGAAATTCCACCCACAGTCACAATCACTATATCCCATTTGGGATCCACACGTAGTCCCAGTCCCTCTATTGCACTTGGAATGCTATGCACAGACCCAGTCTCTATATCCCACTCGGAATACTATGCACAATAATGATCCGTATATCCCACTTGGAATGCAGCGCACAGTCCCAGTCCCTATAACTGACTTGGAACACCGACCACAGTCCCAGTCCCTAAAACCCACTTGGAATACCACCCATATTCCCAAATCCCACTTGGAATATTGACCACCGTCCCAATATCCCACATGGAATACCACCCGCAGTCCCAGTCACTTAATCACTTTCGGAATACTATGCACAGTTCTGATTCCTATATCCCACTCGGAATACAGATCACGGTCCCATTCCCTATATCCCACTTGGAATATCAGCCACATTCCCACTCCTGGTATCCCACTTGGAATTGTATGCACAGTTCCAGTCCCTACATCCCACTTGGAATAATGCACACATTCCGAGCCCATATATCTCATTTGGAAAATCGCCCACAGTCCCAGTCCTTAAATCCCACTTGGAATACCAACCATAGTCCCAGTCTCTATATCCCACTTGGAATACTACCCACAGACCCAGACCGTATATCCCACTTGGAATACTACGCACAGTCCCAGTCCCTCTATTCCACTCTGAATACTATGCACAGTCCCAGTCCCTATATCCCACTTGGAATACTGCCCACAGTCCCAATATCCCACTTGGAATACCTCCTACTATCCCAGTACATATATACCACTTGGAATTCTATGCACAGTCCCGATCCCTGTATCCCATTTGGAATACCATTATCTTCCCAGTCCCTGTCTCCCACCTGGAATACCCTGCACATTGTCAGTCCCTATACCTCACTTGGAATACTATACATAAACTCAGTCCCTACATCTCACTCGGAATACTGTGCATAGTTCTGATCCCTATATCCCATTTGGAATACCACACACGGTCCAAGTCCCTCTATCCCATTTGGAATACTGTGCACAGTTCTGGTCTCTGTATCCCACTCGGAATACTGCACACTGCCATGGAGCCCGTATCCCACTCGGAATACTGCACACTGTCATGGACCCCATATCCCACTCAGAATACTGTACACTGTTCTAACAATGTAAATGAATTGTAGGGAATTGAGTGGCAGGTTAATGGGGGAAGGGAATGGGGGCTTTATAGACCGCAGGTTGGGATTGAGGGTTTAGACCCACAGTCCAATCAGGGTGATCTTCTTGACTGGGAGAGTAAACCCGAGGGGCCGGATGGCACCTGCTGCTTCACGTTCGTGTGCTGTTGGGTTTTTTAAAACAATCGCGGGGCTTTGGATTGAGCAGATGTGAGAAATGTTTCCACGTGTGAAGGATGGGGGTGTAAATCAGAGGTCCCTGTCACTCAGAGGTTCAGGGCGATGGTTGGCACCAGTGTTCCATGGAGCCAGGCAGAGTATGCCCACTGCCAGTCGGCTTGCAGGTCCACACCGGTGGGGTCTAGATGGGAGGAGGAAGCGGGCCGGGCCCTCACGAACAGAGCTTGACAGATGTATTTCCCCCACCCTCCCTCCGCAGGCTCTCTTGCACCCGTATTTCTTCAAAGAGCCACTGCCCGCTCACCACTCGGAGCTGCCGATCCCACAGCGGGCAGGCAGGAAGACCTTGCAGCACCAGCACGAGTTCCATGTTGAGCGGCCCCTCGTGCAATCGGTGACCAACCCAGACCTCGTCTCCCGCCACGCCCGAGTCTGGTGAAACTCCACCTCCGGGCACTGAGTGGTTAAATGGAGACAGGGCTGTGCACCGTGGCCGCGCCGGGAGGCAATGGGGTGCGGTTCGCCCTTTTACAGAACGTCTGCTTCAATCGGGAGAGTGGCGTGCTGTCACTCCAAAGCAACTTGTATTTAATGAATATTGCAATAAAACATGAGCGTCTGACCCTGAGTTGCAGGAGGAGATAATGGGGGACAAGTGGCCTGGTCAGGGGGTCAGGTTTTAAGAGTCTTAACGGAAGAGAGAGCAAGCGCATTCCAGAGGTGACTGCGTGAAGAGCTGGTATGGAGCTAACGGCCTGTAGCTGTGCTGTTCTGGTTCCGAGTTTCAGTATACCCAGATTGACTGCTTCTTTTTGCATTTGCATGGCCTTCCTAACCTGCATCACCTCTTTTACGGACTTGTATACCTACAGTCCTCCGCTCTGCTGCCCCATTTAGACATTATTGGGCAGCACAGTGGCACAGTGGTTAGCACTGCTGCCTCACAGCGCCAGGGACTCGGGGTTTGATTCCAGCCTCAGGCGACTGTCTGTGTGGAGTTTGCACATTCTCCCCGTATCTGCGTGGGTTTCCTCCGGGTCCTCCGGTTTCCTCTCACAGTCCAAAGATGTGCAGGTTAGGTGGATTGGCCATGCTAAATTGCCTGTAATGTTTAGGGAGGTGTAGATTAGGTGGGTTATAGGGGGATGGGTCTGGGAGGGATGCTGTGAGGTTCGGTGTGGACTTGTTGGGCCGAAGGGCCTGTTTCCACACTGTAGGGATTCTATGATTCTATGACATTTTCTGGTTACTTTCTGGGCTGCAAATAACATGGGGGATCTTTTTCGGAAACATCAGATAACACTATTTTGAGTCAATTTTGTAAACGATCTCTTGCTAATTCCATTTTCTGATTCTCAGTAGAGTTCATTTCAAGTGTGAAACCTACTGAAGTCTCTTAATAGTTCCTTTCTGGTTTCAGAAAGCTTCAGATGGTTTCTTGTTCTACTTCAAAATCTGAGTGGCCCCGCTCTTCATTAATTTCTGCACTAGCAGCATAGCCCTCAGCTCATTTCACTTTTTAAAAAATCGTTCCCTTCTCTGCCCTGCGAAATGACGAGGGAGATTTCATGTCAAAGATTGTACCCCAGAAGGTCTCCACAGAGTTGTTCTCTGCTGTCTTGCCTTTGCAGGGTCTCCCACATGGACAGATCATTCGGTCCCCATTACCCCTCTTACACCTTTGCTTCTGCATGTCCTTCCTCCTCAGATTACTGATTCAGTTCCTTTTCAAAAACCTCCTGCTTCCTCCCCCGCATTCTCCGCGCGCATTCCAGACCATTGACTGCAAGTTAAACACTTTTTTGGCCGATCTCTCGACTCTCAATCCTTCCACCAACGGGAACGGTTTCTCCCCCACTCTCTGCACTGTCCCAGGACTCCCACCCTGAATACAAACAGCTCTCCCACTTTGCTCCCCTTGTTTAAACGTTCTGGCTTGGACCCGGGCAAGGCCCCAAGTACAAGTGCAGCTTTGATAGAAATCCTTTAACATTGAGGGGGTCGATGGCCTTTCGGCCCCTCAAGCCTATTCCACCATACAGTGAGATCAAGGCTGATCTGATTGTGGCTTCAACTTCAGAGAGTCATAAAGCATAGAAGGGGCCCATTGCTTCACTTTCCTGTCTGCCCCCACCCCCAGAATGCAAAATCTGTGTTTCAGGCAAGGCCAGTGTTTATTGCCACGTCCCAGTTTCCCCCACTTTTTTTGAGCTGTTGCAGTCCAGCCATCTCAGAGGGCTATTGAGAGTCACCTGCATTGCTGTGTGTGTCTGGAGTCCCACGTAGGCACAGACCGGGTAAGGATGACCGATTTCCTTCCCATGTGGGGCATTAGTGACCATGGATAAGCATAGTCACGGTTGCTATTACTGAGACTCTCAACTCCAGATTTCATGAATCTCACTAGCCAGCTATTTTGGGATTTAAAGCCACATCCTCAGACCATCAACCCAGGCCTCTGCATTACTATTCTAGTGACATTGCCACTCTCCTGGAAGGCAGGAAATGTTTGTGGCACCTATGCAACACCAGCCCAGTAGGGAAATCAATGTGCAGGAGGTAGACAGTGATGGGGCCTAAACAGGAGAGCAAGACTACTGTACCAGTGATGTTGCCACTACCCTTCCCTCTCCCACCCTATTAGCCTCATTGGTTCAAGGGATGTGGACATTACTAGCTACTGCCTGTAATTATTGCCCATCCCCAATTGCCCAGAAGGCAGTTAAGAGTCATGTGTAGCCAAGACTGGGTAAGGACAGCAGATTTCCTTTTCTTGGCTTTTCGAAGCCAATCAACAGTCATCATTAGACTTGACTTTTATTGAATTTAAATTTCACGATCTGACATGATGGGATATGAACCCATGGCCCCAAGGACATGGGCCTGGGGTCCTGGACTGATTTTCACCAACGCTATGCCACCATCTCTTCGAATGAGAAAATGAATGCTCCTTTTCTCTCAGCTTCACACCAAAGAAGGGAACGGTTACTGCAGCTCCAGAGTTTAGCTGGCACGACAGGGTTAAGTCTGGCCACTCCCTTGAGACGACTTCTAGCTTTCTGAGTTCTGGGCGTGAGGCAGTTTCTGGATGTCTTCAGCAGAAGACCAATTCCTCAGAAACAACCTTATCTCTTCAGCGCAGATCCTTCCAGCTCTGTTTGCAGACTGTGCGAGCGTGTGAGCAAGGGCTGGTGAGCATTGTGGAGGCTCGTGCTGAAGGCAGTCTTGTTGGTGGAGAGAGAAACATTATGGTGAAAAGCAGAGAGACAGAAGACTTACAGTGGATCGAGACAACAGAATAAGCCATACAAAACGAGAGAGAAGGTCGAGAAAGAAGGCAGAGATTCAGGAAAGGAGCTTCATTTCTTGTCTTGCATCTGAAGCTGTAGGGCATTGGTACAAAGCAAGATCCCATGAGCAATGCGCAGTGTGTTCATTGGGGATGGTCAGCAAAGGGGAAAATACTCCCAGCACAGGGTTGGATAGACAGTAAAGCCCTTCCCCTGTACTCTTTTAAACCAAAAGGAAAGTTTTCCTTGCACGTTTGCCATCAAAAACTCCCGGGACAGAATCGGCAGGGGGTAAGATACCGAGTAAAGCTTCCTCTGTACCATTCCCCCATCAAACACTCCCAGGGCAGCACAGGGTTAGACACAAAGTGAAGCTTTCTCTACACTGTTCCCATCAAACAGTCCCACGACAGCACAGGGTTAGATGCAGGGTAAAGCCATCTCCACACTGTCCCCATCAAACACTCCCAGGAAAGCATGAGGTTAGATACAGGGTAAAGCTCTCTCTACACTGTCCTCTCAAAACTCAGCCTTGAATAGATTCACTAACTTGGCCCCTAGTACTCTCTGTGGGGGACAGAACCCCACAGATTCCCCAGACTTGGACAGAAGAAATTCCTCATTTCTGTCTTCAGTGGGAGACCCCCTTATTCTAAAACCATCTCCCCCTGTTTTAGATTTCCCTGTCTGTACATGGCATAAAACATCCTCTCAGCACCCAACCTGTCAAGCGCCCCCTTCTCAGGATAATACCTTTCAAAGTGATCATCTTGTTTTTCTAAACCCCAATGGGGTAGCAGGCTGAACCTGCTCAACGTCTCCTTGGAAGACAGACCCCTTCATCCCAGCCAGGTGAAGCTTGTCTGAACTACCTCCAGCACAAGCCTATCCATCCTTCAGTGAGGAGTCCTAGCAACACCCTATACAGTCGGAGCAAAACTCCTTGATGATTATACTCTGGTCTCCCTTGGGAGAACGCTTGTCTTTGTAGTTACTGAATGTGCCTGTGTGGCAGCGACTTGGAATTTACACACAAGGACTCCAGTCTTGTGAGTTGTCTTCGATCTTGTGCTTGGAAGAAAGAGTGAGAGAAAGAGAGGTGTGTGGAGGCAGGAATAAGAGAGGCATGGAAAGCCAGCGTGAGTGGAACGGGAGGGATGTGTTTAACACTCAAAAGATGATCAGGTTTTGGCCCTGAAGGAGGGGGGAGAGAGAGAGAGAGAGGATAAAAGAAATGTAGAAAATGACTGTTCAGATTTCTACTGCATGTATGAGCCAACTATTGCCTCTGATCAGATAAAGGCCTTATCAGCAACAAACAGTTAGATGAGATGGGTGGAATCATCAGCCAAGAAGGACACAGCAACCATTTGTGACAGGCTTCTCATGAGATTACGAAGTTTGTTTGGTGGGGTCAACGAGAACGCTTGCAGTTGACAAAACATTTCTCCTTTTTCTTAACCGGGTTAGAAGGGGAAGGGGGGATGTGAAATTTATCCAAATTATTTACGATGCTATTGTCAGACCCAATTCCTTTACCACAATTCTCGCCTAATCGTTCTTCCACACTAGGCCCCAGTTCCTGCCTACGACCTGATGGGTTTCTTCCCCCTCTCGTGTGTGTCATTTTGCGATGATCTGTTTTTAATTAATCAGGTTTTTACTTAATCTTCACCTTCCCGTTTTCCTACCAAGGGAGTGCCTCAGAGTGTCAGAGCTGGGACAGCAAGACACTGCTGAGGGCATGTTCACAGTGTGGGTCAGTACTGAGGCTTGAGGAGGGGGCTGAATGGCCTCCTGTTCCTGTGTATCAGGCTGAAGGTGGGGGCAGAATAGCCTCCTCCTGTTCCTGTGTAACAGACTTGAGGAGGGGGCTCAGTGGCCTCCTGTTCCTGTGTAACACGCTAAAGGAGGGGGCTGAATGGCCTCCTGTTCCTGTGTAACAGGCACAAGGAGAGGGGCTGAATGGACCTCTTGGACTGTCCCTTCACATCAATCCCATCGTCTCCATTCTCCCCAACCCTGATCCCATCAGCAAACTCCCATTAAGGGCAGCGACCTCAGTACTTCCCAGTTGTTTGCCACCTAGGAAGACATTTCTGCATAGGATCAGTAGGTCTCTGTTAAGTTCACACTTGGTGGAAATTGACTGCGTTGCCTCAACTTGCCTGCCTCAGTGCCCCCTCGAAAAGGTGGTGGTGAGCTGCCTTCTTGACCCACTGTAGTCACTGTGTGGTGTAGGGAGACCTTGCACAGTGCCCCCGTTAGGGAGGGAGTTCCAGGATTCTCACCCTGGTGACACTGAGGGAACGGCCCATATCGTTCCAAGTCAGGATAGTGACAGGCTCAGAGGGGAACTTACAGGGGCTGGTGCTCCCCGTGCTGCCCCTTGTCCTTCCGGGGGGATAGGGGTGGCAGGTTTGGAAGTTGCTGCCTTGGCGAGCCGCAGTGCATCTTGTCAATGGTACACACTGCTGCCCCTCTGCATTGGTTGAGGAGGGAGTGAATATTGAAGGTGGTTGATGAGGCAGTGGGCGAGTGGCTTTCTTGGATTCAGAACTACATTGGGGTGTTTCTTGACTATCACTGGGTCAAAAGCTCAGAACTGCCTTGTTAGATATCCCCTCTGCATGGTTGAAGAAGCTTGCTACCACTTTCTCCAGGGGGTAATTGAGGATGGACAGCAACTTCAGCCTAGGCAACAATGCTCAAATCCCATGAAAGAATTTTTTCAGTGCTTTGTTTTGCAATTAAATAAATTCTTAAATGGTGTTCTGTTACTTTCTGGGTCTTGCACTTTCAGACAGATTTCAAGGCATTGGCAAGAAAGCAGAATAGAATTTGTAAATCCATATCAGAGCTGGTCGTGAAGACCCAACTGTTTTCCTCACAGTGGGGAAGGATAACGGGGAAATTGAAGTGTTCAGAAACACCAGAGGGTTGTTTTGATCGATACATTGGGGGTGGTGGGGGGGAGGAAACCAGTCCCATGGCAAGAGAGTGAGTGATTAGCCCAACTCTGTCAGCAGAGCACAGGATAATATCTCTCTGGTTCAGGGCAGGACGTGGCGGGTGTAAGACCTTCGTGGTGGGTTACAGAGGAGAGAAACGGGCAGGACGGAGAGAGAGAGAGACAGGGATGCGGCCGGCTGGTGGGACCCCAGCACCATCTCTGGAGGGATCCAACGGCTCAGATTGGGCGGATGGCCTGGGGAGGCGGGTCGTGCAGGCAAGGGGACTGACAAACCCCTTCTTTCCGCCCGCCCTCAGCCCAACTCAGCAACAGGACAGCCACTGCCACTCCTATCAGAAAGTGTAATCACCCACTCCCTCCAGTTCGAAGACATTTCTCAAGAAAGGAAAATAAAACAACCGTGTTGGAACTATCACTCACTCATTGGGCCTTATTTTGTGATAACGTTTTCACAAGGTTAGTGGCTTTTCAAGATGATTATCTGCGTTTTGTTATCTTGCGCATTTGAGTATTTTCTCGCCTCTGTATGTCAGGGAGCTGGTTTCACTGATATGAATAGACACTGTCGCTATTTCCCTTATAAAATGGATATAAAGAGATACATTCCCTGTGTGATTAGGAATTAATCATCAGATAGTGAATTTTCTGAACTGAAACACAGCCCTCACTCTCCCCACATCACAACTTAATCCATCTTAAATTCCTGCTTTGATGCAGCAGTTCTTCCACGGTTCCTCAGCACCACCTTCACGACAGAACAGCGCTGACTCTCCAACAGTGCGACGCTCCCTCAGCATTGACCCTCCGACAGTGCGGTACTCCCTCAGCGCTGACCCTCTAACAGTGCCCGCTCTCTCAGCGCTCACTCTCCGACAGTGCAGCACTCTCTCAGCGCTGACACTCCGACAGTGCCCGCTCCCTCAGCACTGATCCTCTGACACTGCAACACTTCGTCAGCACTGACTCTCCAACAGTACGGCACTCCCTCAGCACTGACCCTCCGACAATGCCCACTCCCTCAACACTGACCCTCCAACAGTGCCTACTCCCTCAGCACTGACCTTCCGACAGTGCGGCACTCCCTCAGCACTGACCCTCTGAAAGTTGGGCTCTCCCTCACTATTGACCCTCCAACAGTGAAATACTCCCTCAGCACTGCAACACTCCCTCAGCACTGACCCTTCAACAGTGTTTAATCCGTCAACACTGACCCTCCAACAGTGCCCGCTCCCTCAGCACTGACCCTCTGACAGTGCCCGCTCCCTCAGCACTGACCCTTTGACAGTGCCCGCTCCCTCAGCACTGACCCTTTGACAGTGCCCACTCCCTCAGCACTGACCCTCCGACAGTGCCCACTCCCTCAGCACTGACCCTTCGACAGTGTGGCATTCCCTCAGTACTGACCCTCCGACGGTGCGGTACTCCCTCGGCACTGACACTCAACAGTGCAGTACTGCCTCAGCACTGACCCTCTGACACTGCAACACTTCCTCAGCACTGACCTCCGACAGTGTGGTACTCCCTCAGCATTGATCCCCCGACACTGCAACACTTCCTCAGCACTGACCCTCCGATAGTGCGGTACTCCCTCAGCACTGATCCTCCGACACTGCAACACTTCCTCAGCACTGACCCTCCAATAGTGCCCTCTCCCTCAACACTGACCCTCCGAAAGTGCGGTACTCACTCAGCAATGACCTTCTGATAGTGCAGCGCTTCCTCAGCACTGACCCACCGACAGTGTGGTACTCCCTCAGCATTGACCCTCTGACAGTGTGGTATTCCCTCAGCACTGACCCTCAGACACTGCCCACTCCCTCAACACTGACCCTTTGACAGTGCCTGCTCCCTCGGCTCTGATCCTCCAACAGTGCCCCTTCCCTCAGTACTGAACCTCTGAAAATGTGGCACTCCCTCAGCACTGACCTCCTGACAAGAAGCCTTCATTGAATATAACAGCCTGAATTGACCAGATTAGATATGGCTCTCAGTCTGACCAGCGGAGCTCATGCACTGACAGACGATAAATGGGAGGGTGTGCGTGTGTCAGAAATTGACACCAAAACATTGAGCAGGAGTATCAGTTTGACTGAATCTGAGCCTGAACTATGTTGTTCAGAATGGGCAATCAGAAGCTCAGTCAAAGAGACTCATTTTTAAACAGCATTGTAAAGGAATAGACAGAGAGGGGGAGGCACAGTGCTTTAGAGAGAGACTCCTGAGGTTAGCAGCCCCAGGCAGCTGAAAGCATGGAGTTAATTACAGAATAAATCTCCCCCTGCTATGCTGTCCCCATCAAGCACTCCCAGGACGGGGACAGCACAGGGTTAGACACAGAGTAAAGCTCCTTCTACACTGTCCTGCATCAAACAGTCCCAGGATGGGGAGAGCACAGGGCTAGATATAGACTAAAGTTCTCTCTATACTGTCCCCCAGTCAAACACTCCCAGGACAGAGACAGCACAGGGTTACATACAGATAAAGGCTCCCTCTACATTTGGAATATTACATTCAATTCTGGTCTCTCTGCTATAGGACATATGAAACTTGAAAGGGGTGATAAAAGATTTACAAGGATGTTGCCAGGGTTGTTGGATTTGAGCTACAGGGAGAGACTGAGTAGGCTGGGGCTATTTTCCCTGGAGTGTTGGAGGCTGCGGGTGACCTTATAGAGGTTTATAAAATCATGACGGGCATAGATAGGGTGATTATCTCAGGGAGGGGAATCCAAAACTAGAGGGTACAGGGTTAAGGTGAGAGGGGAAAGATTTAAAAGGGACCTAAGGGGCAACTTTTTCACACAGAAGGTAGTGCGTGTATGGAATGAGCTGCCAGAAGAAATGCCAGATGCTGATACAATTGCAACATGTAAAAGGCATTTGCATGGGTATATGAATAAGAAGTGTTTACAGGGATGTGGGCCAAATGGCAATGAATTAATTTAGGATATCTGGTCAGCATGGACAGAAGGGTGTGTTTCCCTGCTGTATAATTCTATGATTCTACACTGTCCCCATCAAACACTATCAGGACAGGGATTGCACAGAAGTTAGAATTATAGAATCCCTACAGTGTGGAAACAGGCCCTTCATCCCAACAAGTCCACACTGACCCTTGCAGCATGCATCCAGACACATTCCCCTATAACCCACCTAAGCTAGCATCCCTGAACACTACAGGCAATTTAGCATGGCCAATCCACCTACCCTGCACATCTTTGGGCTGTAGGAGGAAACCAGAGGACCTGGAGGAAACCCACACAGATACAGGGAGAATGTGCAAACTCCACACAGACAGTCACCTGAAAGTGGAATTGAACCCGGGTCCCTGGCACTGTGAGGCAGCAGTGCTAACCACTGAGCCACCGTGCCGTCTCAAAGTTAAATACAGAGTAAAGCTCCTTTGATACTGTCCCCATCAAACACTCCCAGGACAGGGACAGCATGAGGTTAGATACAGAGTAAAGTTTCTTCTGCACTGTCCCCATCAAATATTCCCAGGACAGGGACAGCACGGGGTTAGATACAGAGTAAACCTCCCTCTACACTGACCCCCATCAAATTCTCCCAGGAAAGGGACAGCATGGGATTAGATACAATCCCCTCTATGCTTGCCAGGGCTGTGTGCCTCCTGCTCTGACAGTGGACGACACAGCAGCTGGGTGCTAGCTTCTGTCTACCTGAGCAAGCGGAGTTGTGGGGAAGGCACTGTCAGGAAGAACAACTCACTGTGGGGCTGATGTCTTCAGATGGAGTATGTACATAACCTATACATTAGCTTCAGACAATCTTACATCCCAAGTGTAGCAAAAAAAACACCTCTTTGCCATTGACTACAAACTCAATTCAATTTTCACAAATTCTCTGCCTTGGGCCACTCACCATCACCCCCACCCCCCACCACCTACCACTTGAGTGCATTCTCCCTGTCTAACACTCAGAAATCTCACACAGTTTGCAGAAATAAGAGCAGGGCTGGGAAACCAGACTGACAAAAGAATACACATTTGCACTGCACCTCTGATCCAGGGATGTTTACTGTGTCGTACAGAAGCATATCCGAAGTGTGAATGACTGTGCAAACAGACTGTGAGATAATCCCCTCATATTTCATCTCCGTTGCGAGACTGTACTCACATTACAGTCTGTTCCCAGTAAATGTTCAGATGCTGTGTCCATCAGCCAGGACCACCTCCACAGTCAGGGGTGTAGGGGGCTGGAGGAGGTGACAGAGATAGGGAGGGGGTGTAGGGGGCTGGAGGAGGTGACAGAGATAGGGAGAGGGTGTAAGGGCTGGAGGAGGTGACAGAGATATGGAGGGGGTGTAGGGGGCTGGAGGAGGTGACAGAGATAGGGAGAGGGTGTAAGGGCTGGAGGAGGTGACAGAGATAGGGAGGGGTATAGGGGCCGAAGGAGGTGACAGAGATAGGGAGGGGTATAGGGACAGGAGGATGTAACACAAATAGGGAGGGTTGTAGGGATTGGCGGAGGTGAGAGTTAGGTAGGGGTGTAGCAGTCAGAGAAGGTGACAGAGATAGAGGTATTGGGACAGGAGGAGGTGACAAGATAGGGAGGGTTGTAGGGACTGGCGGAGGTGAGAGTTAGGGAGGGATGTAGGGGTCAGAGATGGTGAAAGAGGTAGCGAGGGGTGTGGGGCTGGAGGAAGTTACAGAGATAGGGAAGGGTGTAGGAACAGGGGTTCGATGTGTACCTAACCTTGGTCACATGCCACCCTGAGCCCCATATCTATTTCTGGGAACTCAGGAAAGATTCATGGATCTAAATTTGGCAAAGGGTGAAGATAGGACTGAACTCACAACTGAAGATAGGAGTAATAGAATGTCCCTGTGTAAATGAAATGTGGCTATTTATTGCCTGGCGATTTAAGGAAAAGATTGGGGAAATCTTGTTCCATCTGTACAGGATGAAGGTGAGACCCCACTGGGAGCACTGTCTACAATTCTGCTCCTCTCACTGAATGAGGGATAGACTGATACTGGAGACAGTTCAGAGAAGCTGGTTCCTGGGGTGGGGAAGGGGTCCGTCTTTTGAGAAGGTGAGCAGATTGGACCAGTCCCCATCGTAGTTTAGAAGAATGAGAGGGTGATTGCAGATCCTGAGGATATGGGGAGGAATTGACAGGGGGGAAGCTGAGAGGATGGTTGCCCCCAACTCATGTGGGGGATCTGGAACCAGAGAAGGGGGCATGATTTCAGAATGAGGGGGTCTCCCATTTAAGATGGCGATGAGAAGGAATTTCATCTCTCTGAGGTTGGGTTGTCTGTGGGATTCTCTCCCCCACAGAGAGCAGGGGATGGGGGGGCACGGTCAGTGAATATATTCAAGGCCCAGTTTTGATGGAGGAGGGAGTGGAGGGGCAGCGGTATAGAGGAGCAGACAGGAAAGTGGAGCTTGAGGCCATCAGTCACTGTCTTAATTAAATGGATTTTGTCCTGGGGCCCTTCAGTTGCAGAAGCTGCGGCTGAGATCGCTGGGTGTGTTTTTTTAATGTTTCATTTAGGCTGGATGATAGAGATGAGCCAAGATAAGGGGAAAGTGTCAAGGGAGGCAGGCAGTAACTGGTGACGGACAGAGAACTGTGACTCGCAAGGATCCACTGGTGTGGAACTTGGCATGGAGACCTGGAGAGGTGCAGAGTAGGCACCTGAGCAGTCCACAGCTAATTCCACAAATGCTGCGTGTGGCCAGAGATGAGCAGGAACAACTTCTCTCCAAGTGGATAAATCAGTGCCGACTGAGCTGAGGAGAAAGGTCTTCTCCCAGACGAGGCGAAAACATTGCAGGCTTTTACAAAGGAGCTGGCTGTAGCTGAAGCAATCTGAGGATATGGAAGAGAAATGGGAGCAGGCTACTAAGTTGGATGATCAACCATGATCCTATTGAATGGTGGAGCAGGCTCGAAGGGCCAAATGACCTACTCCTACTCCTGTGTTCCTAAAGCGTCACAAATCTGTAGAATTCAAACCCCCCAAAGTGCGGTGGGCAGTGGGACACTGAATAAATTTACGGAGGAAATACATCTTTAATTAGTAGTGGGTTAAAGGAAGCGAGTGGCAGGAAATTGGGAGGCGATTGTAAAGTTTGGCATGAGGGGCTGAATGGCCTACTCCTACTCTTGGATTCATGTAGTGCGGACGCAGACAGTGCATCAAGGTTTGTTTCTGGAATGAGAAATGGGCTCTCTAATTATCGGAGATACAAATCTGGAACCAGTAGAACATAGCAACAGCAACACTGCAAAACCATCACTGACTCCTGTAAACTCCCATGTCATTCAGTAATGTACCCTGGGTAACTGAAGCATAACATCCTTCCTTTGATGTTCAATTCCTCTTGTAATAAAGGATAGCATCCCACGAGTCTTCCCGATTATGTATTGTACCTGCAGACTAACCTTCAGTGACTAATTCACTAGGGCAGCCAGATTCCTCTGCACCTTGGCATCTGCAATCATACAGCACAGAAACACACCCTTTGGTCCAACTTGTCCATGCTGACCAGGTTTTCCAAACTAAACTAGTCCCACTTGCCTGCATTTGGCCCATATCCCTCTTAACCTTTCCTATTCACATACTTGTCCAAATTGTGTTCCATTTCAGATATACTCTGTTCATTCCTCCTGCCAAGGAGAACAACTTCACAATTTTCCCACATCATACTCCATCTGCCTGATTTCTGCCCATTCATTCAACCTACCACAATCGTCTTCAATCTCCTTCTGTCCCCTTTGAAGCTGAAGGGGACATGTTCTAAGTCAGGATGCAGTGTATGTTGGGGAGCATTGGAGGGGAACTTGCAGGGGGTGGTATTCCCCCTGTGTCTGCTGCTGGGTAGAGGTGGCGAGTTTGGAAGGTGCTGTTGGAGCAGCCTCAACAAGTCACTGCAATGCATCTTATAGACAGTACCCACTGCTGTCAGTAGTGGAGGGAGTGAATGTTGAAGGTGGGGGTTAGCATGTTGATCGAGTAGGAGGGGTGCTGCTTTGTCCTGGAAGGTGTCAAGCTTCTCAAATATTGTTGGAGCCGCACCCATCCAGGCAAGTGGGGAGTATTCCACCACATTCCTGACTTGTGCCTTGTGGTTGGTGGGACAGGCTTTTGGGGGAGAGTCAGGAGGTGCGTCACTCGCTAAAGGATTCCCAGCCTCTGATCTGCTGTTGTAGCCATAGCATTGATATGGCTGCATCCAGTTCAGTTTCTGGTCAATGGTAGCCCCCAGGATGTTGATAGTGCATAGATTCAGTGATGGTAGCGTCATTGAATGTAAAGGCAACGATGCTTAGATTATCTCTTATTACAGATGGTAACCCTCAGAGTGGGGCAGTGTGTTGAGAGTGGGGCATTCAGTAAAGGCAACATGACCGAACATCAAGGGGGCGATGGTTAGATTCTCTCTTGTTGGAGATGGTAACCCCCAGGATGTTAATAACTGAGGGATTCAGTGATGGTGATGCCATTGAATGTCAAGGGGAGGGGGGAGGCAATGGTTAGATTCTCTCTTGTTGGAGATGGTCATTGCCTGGCACTTGTGTGGCACGGCTGTTAATTGCCAATTATCAGCACGAGCCTGAATGTTGCCCGGGTCTTGGTAAATGAAGGTACTGACTACTTCAGTACTTGAGGAGTCTCGTGTGGAAAGCAGCAGTGTAAGGGTCAATCCAGGGGGAGAGTCTGACAGCGGAACTAACATTTGGATAACCTACATGTGCAGGTTGAGACTGTGTCTCGGACTCAAGATTCGACGCAGGAGAATGGAGGAATCTTCAGGCCAGTCACGGTGGTTAGGCCACCAGGCCCTGCTGGGGGCTGGCCAGGAGCCTCTGCTCCACTACGCAGATGAGATCCCCCTTTCGTCCACCACCAATGAGGCCGATGCTTTCTTCAGCCACACCGAGGTGGAGGGCAGCCTGGCCCAGCCGTACTATGCCAGCCCCGTCCATGGCAGGGCCATTGGGAATTATCGGCACGGTGAGTACCATATCTGCTCTGAACTCCTGTTGCCAAAGGGAAGGATGACCAAGGGGGCGTTCAGGGACAAACCTCCACCTTACATCAGCAATGCCGCCGCTCTCTGTTCCAGAGCTGAGCACAGCAAGATCCCACAGGTGGAACTGCAGCCATGTGTCACGCTCCTTCTGTGTCCAATCCCCAAAATCCCCTGGGCAGTAGTGGACCCACGATCTTCACCGGCAGAGGGTAGAAAGGCTATTGTGGTGCACAGTAGTGTCCGTGCCTCTGCACCAGGAGGCCCGGTTCCAAGTCCCACTTGGTCCAGACAGAACATAGAGTCATAGAGACGTACAGGACAGAAACAGGCCATTCGGTCCAACTTGTCCATGCCAACCAGATATCCTAAATTAATCTAGTCCCATTTGTCAGCATTTAGCCCATATCCCTCTAAACCATTCATATCCCCATCCAGATGCCTTTTCAATGTTGTAATTGTACCAGCCTCCACCACTTCCTCTAGCAGCTCGTTCCATACACACTCCACCCTCTATGCGAAAAAGTTGCCCTTTGGGACCCTTTTAAATCTTTTCCCTCTCACCTTAAACCTATGCCCCTCTAGTTTTGGACTCCCCTAAACATCTAAAAAAAGGTAGGCCCCAGGTTGGGAGGGAGACAGTGTCGTACATTCACATCACCCGCTGATGGAAAGTCAGCCCTAGGTTTTGTGCCAGATCCTCTGAAAGAGGGAGTCCTGACTCAAATTATGACAATCCCTGAGATTTCATTCTGCTACTGCCTGTTCCCTGGCCACGATGTGGGAACCTATCAGCGTCCTGAAGGCTTGAGCAGGAATCCCTGTGGGAATGCGATGCCGAATTCAGGGAGACAGATGTTTGCCATGATGGCAGTGCGCTCTGGTCACTGCTAACAGTGACTGAGAATCATTCCCCAGACAGACTGACCATATTTTTAAAACTTAATTTGAGATGTGGGTGTCAATGGCCGCGCCCATGCTTATTGCCCATCCCTATTTGCCCCTCAAGAAGATGTTGGTGAGATGTCACCTTGAAGATCCGCTGCAGTCCCCGTGTGGTGTGGTAACAGTGCCCCCATTAGGGAGGGAGTCCCAGGATTCTGACCCCAGCGACACTGAAGGAATGGCCAACATTATCCTCAGTCAGGATGGTGTAATAGGGCTCTCTGAGGGGAACTTGCAGGCTGTGGTGTTCCCCCTGCATCTGCTGATCCCACACCTCCCCATCCTTCTATGAGGTAGAGGTGGTGAGTATGGAAGGTGCTGTCAGAGGAGCCTTAGCGAGTTGCTGCAGTGCGTCTTGTTAGACGGTACACACTGCTACTGCGCGCCGCTGGTGGAGGGAGAGTGTTGAACGTGGGGGTTAGTGTGTCGCTCAAGCCGGAGGCGGAGCTGCTTTATCCTAGAAGGTGTCAAGCTTCTCGAGTAATATTGGGGCTACACTCATCCAGGCAAGTGGGAAATATTCCATCATCCTCCTGACTTGTGCCTTGTCAATGGTGGGATAGGCTTTGAGGGGACAGTCAGGAGGTGAGCTACTTGCTACAGGATTCCCAGCCTTTGATCTGCTCTTGTAGCTGCAGTATTGATATAGCTGGGTCCAGAGTGAGGTGGTCAAAGATGCTGGAAGAATGTATGTTCTTGCAGCCTCCACTTTGATTGAAAATAGCTGAGGCAACGGAAGAAGTAACTTTATCTACAAAATGAGGCTGATTAGTTTTTTAGATAAAGCACAAACTGTCAGGAAATTGTAACACTGTACATTTTGGAAATGACGAGTCTTTCTGCACTCCGATAGGGTGGGGGCGGATTCAAAGCCACTCAGAGCTTCCCTTTCTTTTATCCAGACCAACTTTCCCTCTGATTTCTGAGACCTTTTCCCAATAATACAGCCATCAGGCCTGCAACAATGTGGTATTCCCTCAACTGACCACCCAATAGTGTCCACTCCCTCAGCACTGACCCTCTGACATGCGGCAATCCCTGAGCACTGACCCTCTGACAGTGCCCACTCCCTCAACACTGACCTTCTGACAGTACGCCACTCCCTCAGTATGACCCTCCAACAGTGCGGCTCTCCCTCAGTGCTGACTCTTTCCTCTCTTTGTCACCGTGCCTGCTGTCCTGTCACAATCCATTTCCTTGTCTTTTCTCCTGTCTGCTCCTTCTAAGTAACGTTGCAATTTCTACCTCATGCCACCTTCGTTAAAACATTCCTTCCCCTCATCAGAGAATCTGCCTGCCCTCTGCTTCCAGGAGACCAATCCCAGTTTCTGTGGCCTCTCCACATGTACTGCAGCTGCTCAGAAAGCCAGCAACAACATTCCAGCTCCTTCAATGCTCAGCAAGTGCTCCCTCGCCGATGCTTGACCACCCAGTAGATTTACTGTTTCATTGGGTCACCCCTTGGGAGAAAGGATACGGGCCAAATTCTGGCAAATGGGACTAGATTTAGGATATCTAGTCAGCATGGACAAGTTGGACTGAAGGGTCTGTTTCTGTACTATCTCTATGACTCTATGACCTTGGGGAGTGTGCCTGCCTCTAAGCCCAGAGGTTCTGGGTTTGAGTCCCACCGCAAACGGCAGGCGGTGAAAGTGGGAGAGCTTCCTGCTCAGCCTTGCGATAGAAGGAAGTCGGAGCCTCTAGCCTCAGTGTCTACATCAGCTCCAGGCTGGAATGTCACCCCATCTGTGAGTGGATTGATGCAGACATCTTTCCTCTTCTGTTGCCATTCAGCCTCATTCCAGAGAACTGGGAGCTCCTCTACACTGTCCCCCCATCAAGCTGGGGCGGGGAGGGAAGATGCAATTTGCTGAATGGTGGAGTAGGCTCGAAGGGCTGAATGGCCTACCCTTGCACCTAATTGTCATGGTTTCTATTACTGCTTCGCCACCATCTCCCCAGTTGATTCTAACCAACTGCTTGTATCTTTATCCCCCTCAGGTTGCCAGGTCTACTCCCCTCACTTGCTGAACAGCCTGCAGTGGATGGAGGGGGGTCAGGCGATTGGTCACACATACGGTGGGGCCTGGTCAACGGTTGGGGCCTATGCCAAGGCCTCACTGCCGCTGTACCAGGCTTCCTCTAGCCTCAGCTCGCCTCACCACAGCCAGCACCTCTTTGGCTTCACGTCGCCTCTGAAGGAGGCCGGTCACGAGGAGCCGGGGGCTAGCTTGGGCAAGGAGAGCCCCAAGTATGCCGAGGTGATGAAAGTGGAGAGGGAGAGCCCTCAGAACCCCACATTCCATCCGTCGGGCCTGGATGACGGCCTTGGCCAGAGCGGTCACCTCCAGCTTTACAACGGGAGCTTCTATCAAGCTTCGGGGGCCTCAGGGCTGGAAGGCCATTCTGCATCTCTAAAGCACAAGTTGACGTTATCGCCATGCGGTAAGATCTGGATAGGGCTCAGGGTGCCTGTGTAAATAACTGGGTAGGACCTGTGGGGGTTTTAGCCCCTGGGCTGTGCGATTTAGGCCAACATCAGTGAGCTGGCACAAGGGATTTAACACAAAGGTGCCTTTCTCTTACACACACACTCTCTCTCTCACACACACACACACACCGGGTAGCAATATTGGAAGTGTATATTGTGCACAGCAAGCACCCAAACACAACAAAGCCCTCTCAGCACTGACCCTCCGACAGTGCGGTGCCACTCAGCACTGACCCTCCAACAGTGTGGCACTCCCTCAGCACTGACCCTCTGACAGTGCGGTGCTCCTTCAGCATGACACTGACAGTGCCCGGTTTTTCAGTGCTGACCCTCTGACAGTGCTGCGCTCCCTCAGCACTGATCCTTCGACAATGCCCCCTTATTCAGCACTGACCCTACAACAGTGCCCACTCCCTCAGTGTTGACCCTCCAATAATGCCTACTCCCTCAGCACTGACTCTCTGACAGTGCCCACTCCCTCAGTACTGACCCTCCGACAGTGCCCACTCCCTCAGCGTTGACCCTCCGACAGTGCCCACTCTCTCAGCACTAACTCTCCAACAGTGCGGCGCTCCCTCAGCGCTGACCCTGCTCCCTGGCCCAGTCTCCCAGGCCCAGACTAACTGCTGCCCTATGTGTTTTCCTTGCAGAGGCTCGGGAATGTGTGAACTGCGGAGCGACAGCAACACCGCTGTGGCGGAGAGACGGCACTGGACACTATCTCTGTAATGCCTGCGGCCTCTACCACAAAATGAATGGCCAGAACCGACCACTCATTAGGCCCAAGAAGCGCTTGGTGGGTCTCCTGGCCAGCACTCAATGGCCTGAACAACCTCTTTCTGTACAGCATCTCCAAGGGGACAGGGAAACCGTACCTGATCCTGAAAACCCGGAAACCAGTTCTGTAGGTGGCCACTTGGCCCATCTGAACACTCCTTTGCAACAGCTCTCCATTTGGTCCTATCTCACATCACCCAGGGATCACTTAAGAGTCAACTGGGTGTCTTTCAGATTCTAAAATACGCTGAGTATCTGTGCCAAACTTATTCTCTAGGTTCTAGATGTGCAAAAGCCCTAAGATTTGTCCTATCAGAATTTTGTACACTTGACTCATTTCCCATTGTTCTAAATTCTAAACCTGGCATGTTTTATTTTTCCTCCTGCCCTTTTTCTAAATAGTATTATGATTCCAGCCAACAGGGCACCACTGAACAAGTCAGATCTCGCAATGAAACGTGGCTTGATAGATCTTATTGTTCTTCTTTGTGTCGTTAGTTAATGTGATGAATGTGGAAAACAGGCGTGCGAGTAGGCCACCCTGACATGTTCACACGAGGCTGCAAATGTCCATTTAACAACACAAGTCTGTTACACAAAAGAATAATTAAAAACAAAACAAACCAAGCTACTTACACCATAAGATTTGGGAGCAGTCTTTGGCCATTTGGCCCATCATGTCTGCTCTGCCATTCGATCACAGCTGATATATTTCTCAACCCCATTCTCCTGCCTTCTCCCCGTAACCCTTGATCTCCTTACTAATCAAGAATCTATCTATTTCTGTCTTAAATGCACTCAATGACCTGGTCTCCACTGCCCTCTGAGGCAATAAGTTCCATAGATTAACCACCTCCTCGTCTCAGTCCTACAGGGTCATCCCTTCACTCTGAGGCTGTGCCCTTGGGTCCTAATCTCTCCTACTAGTGGTAACATCTTCTCCATTTCCGCTCTATCCAGACCTCTCCATATTCTGCAAGTTTCAGTGTTTCTCAAACCCAGAAACATTTTCCCACCCCCTACCTCATCTCCTTAAGGTTCTACCTGACAGACTCGTTAAAGTTGCTTTTCCATGACTTGTAGAAGCTACTCAATGAGTGCTTTCTGAGTCTGTTGACATAAACATTTCACAAATCTGAGAGCCTAGCCTTTCACTGTTCTAATAACGTGCAGGTTTCTAACCTTGTGGTTTGGAAGGTTCACAATCTACAAACTAAGGAAACTTATTCCCTAAAGGTCATTAGTGAACCAGATGGGTTTTTTCTGACAATTGACAATGGATTCATGGCCATCATTAGACCCTTAATTCCAGATTTTTTTAATGAATTCAAATTCCACCATTGGCAGTAGTGGGATTTGAACTTGGTGCACAGAACATTATGCACATCTCTGGATTAATAGTCTAGCAATAAATACCACTTGGCCTCCCCCTTGAACTGAATGACTTGCTAGGGCCAATTCAGAGGGCAGTTAAGAGTTGACCACACTCGCTGCGGGTCTGGAGTCACACATGGGCTCTGACCAGGTGAGGATGGTAAAGGGGCCAGGTAAGTCACAGTCACCATGACTTTCACCTCCAGATTTATAAATGAAGTTTAAATTCTGGCAACAGACACCAAAGTGGGATTTAAACCCACCTAAGTGAATGTTCAGCTGGACCTGCAGAGTACAATTACAGGACATTCCCACTTGTCTCTCCCTCTCTCGTTCAGCCTCTAGTGGTGGTCACTTGGGACAGATGTCCGTGGAACTGTGATGATGGCGGGGGGAAGCAGTTCAAAGAGTCGAGTTTGTTTTAACTCTTTTCTGCATCTTTTCCTCCTCTTCTCTCTCTCAAACCAGATTGTAAGCAAGCGAGCAGGCACACAGTGTGCCAACTGCCACACCAGCACCACCACGCTATGGCGTCGTAACATCAATGGAGACCCTGTCTGCAACGCATGTGGGCTGTACTACAAACTGCACCATGTGAGTGTGAGCATCTCTCTGATCAGCGAATCCACCGAGACCCCCGTTCTCCCCTCTGCCCACAGGAGTGAGTACCCCATTTTCCCCTCTCTCAGCGAGAGCAAGTCCTTCATTCTCCCCGTGGGGTGAGTCCCCTGTTCTCCCCAAGGGAGCAAGTGCCCATTCTCCAAACTCCCATTGGAGCAAGTCCCCTTCTCCCCTCTCCCCACGGGAGCAAGTCCCCATTCTCCCCTCTCCCCACGGGAGCAAGTCCCCCCTTCCCCCCTCTCCCCCCGGGAGCAAGTCCCCCATTCTCCCCTCTCCCCACAGGAGCAAGTCCCCATTCTCCCCTCTCCCCACAGGAGCAAGTCCACAATATCCCCCTCTCCACCCGGGAGTGAGTCCCCCATTCTCCCCTCTCCCTGTGGGAGCAAATCCCCATTCTCCCTTCTCCCCACGGGAGCAAGTCCTCCATTCACACCTCTGCGCCCGGGAGTGAGTCCCCCATTCTCCCCTCTCCCCACGGGAGCAAGTCC